TTCTTCTTCACCTTGAATTATCTTTTTCTAACCTTGATCAATTTCTACACTTTTTGTTGTTCCTTTACCTTGATCAGTTTTGTCAATCCATGATTTTCCTTCTTCAAACACTATATCTCTACTAATAATGGTTTTTCCAGAAATGGGATTGTACAACTTATAAGCTTTTGATCTATCACTGTAGCCTATAAAGATGGCTCTTTCTGACTTTTCATCCAGTTTGCTCCTCCTTTGTTCAGGTATATGAGAGTAGGCCAAACAACCAAAGACTCTTAAGTGTCCTACAGTTGGTTTGTAACCTGTCCACGCTTCCTGAGGTGTTTTATCAGTAAGACATTTTGTGGAGGTTCTATTTGTTAAATAACATGCACATGCCTCAGCCCAAAATGAATTTTCCAATTTTTTTGTTTTCAACATGCTTCTAGCTTTCTCTATTATGGTTCTATTTACTCTTTCTGCAACTCCATTTTGCTGAGGAGTGTATCTTGCTGTAACTTGATGATGAATACCATGTTCTTTCAAGTATTCAAGGAAATATATAGAATTATATTCCCCACCCCCATCTGATCTAAGGGTTTTAATTTGATATCCACTTTGTTTTCCAACAAAGGCTTTGAATATCTTGAAGTTTCCAAAAACTTCAGATTTTTCTTTTAGGAAATAAATCCATAACTTTCTACTAAAATCATCTATAAAGGTAAGCATGTACCTGTTTCCACCAATAGAAATGGTTTTCATTGGTCCACACACATCTATGTGTACTAATTCCAGAGGTTTTGATGCTCTCCAAGTTGCTTCTTGTGGGAAAGCTTCTCTTGACTGTTTTCAAGCATGCAGCCTTCACACACCTCATCTACTTTGGTTATAATAGGCATACCTTTCACAAGATTGTGTCTTTGCATGTAGCTTAGGTATCCAAGGTTTGCATGACCAAACCTGTGATGCCAYAACAGAGAATTCTGTTTTRTGGATACATGCAGAGARAACAAGATGTCATCTTTAAAACTMAATGGAWWMATTTTGTTGTCTGTCATTTTTAYCTTGCCAATCACATGTCCGTTTGGATCCTTGACTTCACATGCCTCTCCCTTGAATTTTACTTCATATCCTTTTTGTAAAAGTTGTCCTATACTTAGGAGGTTGAATTTCAAACCTGGGACATAATACACGCTTGGTATTCTCTTCTGTCCATTTCTTGTGTTCACAAAGATATCTCCCACTCCTTTTACCTTCAGCATGTTGTCATCACCTGTTCTTACTTCCTTCTTTTGGATTTCATCCATATGAGTAAAAAAAATCCAAATTTCTAGACATATGGTTGCTACAACCACTGTCTAAGTACCATGTGTTGTTAATAGGTAATTCTTGTGTACTACGGATCATAAACACTGCATCATCATTATCTTCCATATTTATTAAATTGTTGTTTCTTTCATCAACAATTTTCTTTCTGCAGTATTTTGCTATGTGCCCAATTTTCTGGCAATAATAGCATTGCATTGGAGAGGATTTTCCTCTACCCTTTCCTCTAAAATCTGATTGTTGTTCTCTTGAGGAGTACCTGTTTCTATCTTGCTGTTCTCTTGAAGGCTGTGTTTGAGATTGAAAAGCTTGTTCATATGGTGTAGTATCGAATTGTTTCATTCTTAATTCGTGTGACTGCAGAATTTCTAACAGTCTCTCAAGTGATAGAAGAGATATGTCTTTTGACTCTTCTATGGCCACTACCACATACTCGAATTTCCTTGTCAGGCTTCTTAAGATTTTTTCAACAACTCTCCTATCTTCAATGACTTCCCCATTTATTCTTAATTGATTCAAGAGGAGAATCACTCTGTTATAATAATCTTCCACTGTTTCAGATTCTTTCATTTTGAKCCCGTCGAATTCACATCTAAGAGTTTGTAGTCTCACCACTTTGACTTTGTCTTCCCCGTGATATGTCTTATGCAGAGTGTCCCATGCTTCCTGTGATGAACTTGAAGAAGAGATTCTCTCAAATATAATTTCGTCGACTGCTTGATAAATCATATATAAAGCCTTCCTGTCCCTTCGTTTTAAATCCTTGATTTCATTTTCTTGTTCTTCTGCGAAGTTGTTGATTTCTATAATTTCATCGATTCCTTGGTCGATGAAATCCCATAATTCTTGCGATTCAAATAGTACTTTCATTTGAATATGCCAATGATGATAGTTCTTCCCGTTTAATTTGGGAAGTTGTGGATGTATCATGATGTTCAAAGTTGAAGCCATCGAAACGTGGCTCTGATACCACAATGTTGGGTACAATAAAGTATAAACCAAATTTGTATATTATTAACATCAGCTTTCAAATGAATACATATACGATCCATATATACAGAACCAACAGACACAATGAAAAGACAYAACTATTCGACAAAGGGACATATTGACAGTTACCCTTAAGTGTCAAACGGTAACTAACGACCTTAACTGTCACTTAACAGAAGTGACCGTTAGAGACTAAACCAGCAGAAATATCAACCATGCAGAGCTTAACTTTAACACACAAGCCAATAGATGTCAAGTGGGTTTTGAAAACAAAAAAGAATGAGAAGGGAGAAATAGACAAGTACAAAGCCCGTTTGGTAGTGAAAGGTTACAAACAGAAATATGGTTTGAAATACAAAGAAGTTTTCAAACCGGTAATTCGTGTTGAAACTATAAGACTTGTGTTGGCCCTTGCAGCTCATAAGGGTTGGGAAGTTCATCAAATGGACGTAAAATCAACTTTTTTAAATGGTTTGTTGAAGGAAGAAGTTTACATCGTGCAACCCCCTGGATATGTCAAAGCAGGAGAAGAAAACAAGGTATGTCATTTAAAGAGAGCATTGTATGGCTTAAAACAAGCCCCCCGGGCTTGGTACAGTCGGATAGATGCTTATTTTCAAAAGGTTGGATTCAAAATTGTATTTACGAGCAACTCTCTTGAAATGATAGAAGTATTTAAGGACTCAATGAAAAAGGAATTCGAGATGACTGATTTAGGATATCTACACTATTTCCTTGGTAAAGAAGTCAAGCAAAAAGGGGATAGTATTTCAATAACTCAGCAAAGGTATGCCAAAGATCTTCTGGTACGATTCAATATGGCAGACTGTATTCCAGCCTCAACACCCATTGAATATGTTTTAAAACTTCCAAAGGATACTCACGAAAGGGATGTTGATGCTGGTCTATTTCGTAGTCTAGTAGGAAGTTTAATGTACTTGACCGCTACACGACCCGACATTACTTTTCAGTAAGTAAGATTAGTTGCTTCATGGAGAATCCTAAAGTCAATCACTCGGAAGCAGGCAAGAGTATTTTGAAATACATCAAAGGTACGCTTGATCATGGTATCATCTTTCAGAAACTGCTAATATTCAACTTTTGGGATTTAGTGATAGTGATTATGGAGGGAATATGGATGATAGTAGAAGCACTTCGGGGTATGTTTTCAGTCTTGGTTCAGGAGTCATCTCGTGGCAATCCAAGAAGCAAAGCGTGGTTGCTTTATCTTCTGCTGAAGCAGAATAGATCTCACTCGCAAGCGCTGGATGTCAAGCCTTATGGCTAAGGGCTTTTTTAAAGGAACTAAGTCATCCTCAAGGGGAAGCAACAATGATATTCTGCGATAACAAATCTGCTATAGCCCTATCCAAGAATCCGGTGTATCACGGGAAAAGCAAACACATAAGGATTAAGTATCATTTTATAAAAGAGCTGGTTGAAAACAATGAAGTTGATGTTGATCATTGCAGCACAAAGAATCAAATAGCAGATATTTTTACAAAAGCTCTTCAGGTTGGTACCTTCAATCACTTAAAGAAAAAACTGGGCATGGGTTCTGTCTAACTTAAGGGGAAGTGTTTGAAGTAAGCTAAACGTGGACTTCTAGCAGTTGGTTACCTCCTCAAATAGTCAGTTTATTAACCACCATCTCCAACCGTCACATCTGTTTGTGAACCATCACACATGTTCATTGCCTTGTATATATATGTCATATGTATCCTATTGTTTTGTGTAGTAATCTTGCACAAAAGTCAATAAATAAACATACACGTATTTATTGTATCTTCACCTTTGTCCCAACAAACAGAAGCTTACCTAAGAGATTACAACTGACAAACATAAGCTAAGTCACCTCTCTCCCTTGGATTGGAGAGGGGAAGATCACCAAAGTGTTTGCTCTCAAGTACTTTGATCTCCCACCCTCAAACAAGCCCTAAAACATGTACTTATTCTGTCTGGAAGCCTATGCAACCTGGCCATTTAGTTTCCTGGTGTGTTTTTCGTTTTCTCTATAGATTTTACTGCTGCTATGAATAGAAAAATATATATCTTTGGTACCAAAACTTTCACATTACGAAACTGATATCGTCAACTTTACGTTGCCCTGCCAGAGTTTGCATGGTAGATCTGAGTGAGTATAATGGAATTTCTATTTTCTAAAACAGTATATGCTATGGACATCATGTTCTTATACCAAATCAACTAAAATCTCCCCATCAATACCAGAATCAGAGACTTAAACCCCTCCCCGAGTAAACAAAGACCATGGAAACTTTGAAAGTAAATATGACATTGCCCATAGAAGACAAAATTTAACAGATATTTTCGTGTGTTAGTTGAATAAAAGCATCAACAAACATTTCTAAAAGGTACAACTTTCAAGAAAGAAGAATGCATGAAATGTTAACATCATATTTAGTGAATTGGCACACAAAATATAGGGCTGGCACTTATCATATTCAGGGTGCCATTCTCATCTAATTTGTCTCCTTAAAAGAAAAACTATGCAAGGAATCTAGGAGCAGCGGTTTATTCACATTGTCAGCCGAAAATAATTTTGGAGAAGGAGATGAAATAATGATTAATGAATTGATGGAGCACCATGAGATTATCAAATCTAGATGTAAACAATATTCTCAGAAATATTCATCCAATATATAGAATGGATAAAAAAAAATGAGCATAGTTACAAGAGAAAGATTTACTTGCAAAACAAGGCTCCCAGAGTAGTCTGCAATTCCTCCAGTTACATCCAATCTTCCAGGTGCTCTTGCCACATATATGTCTTCCTGTATGAGTAAGCATTACATCGAGAAGACTAAACTTCCTCACCAAGAAAATAAGAAGTTTCTGAAATTGAAAGAAAACTTAAGAAGTACATGCACGTGCAAGGAGGAAAAAGGAAAGAAACCATGTATGTTATGCCATATTCTTTGTTGAGCATTCCAAAATTGGTCAAATCACACTCTTTCTTCGTACAATCAGCCTCTCTAATTCATGACCTAATACTAGACTCCTAATTAACCTACACTAATTCACACATCTACATAGTCAAATATGTATGTCAAATCCAAGTTGCCTACCAATTTGCATTAGTGAACATTACGGAATTCTTGTCATTGGTTGGTTCTCTTAGGAGCTAATCTTGTTTTTAGGGTACTAACTTAATGGCTAGATAAAAAATAAGCACTACTATTTGTTGCTTTCAGAAGCAATTTTGCGCCCCTAGTGTGCTATGGTTTTTGAGGAATTGCTTCCCAAGATACAATAAAGTATGTAATACGATTATCAACAATGCATGGTTGGTGATAATCCGGGATGAACTAGTGAGATTTCAAGGATTTCGAGAAGCCTAAAAAGTATGTTTGTGTAGTGAGATTTTAAGCTAATCTGGTATGTGAAAAGAATAATTTTTGGTGTTCGAGTGTGTTAGTATATATAGACATCAGTGAGAGCCCCTTAAACCGTCACAAATAACCGACTTTTGACACTTTGCACCAAAGGCGACAACTCAAATCATCATAACTATTTAAACAGGCACCTGTTAGCCAACTGCTGCTAATAGTGACGCTTCAGGCTGTTGCAACTGTTCAAACGGACACCTTTTGTACAACTCCTATCAAACGACCTTTCCAGACGGTCGCATATGTTCCAGTGCAAAGTGCGTCATCAAAGCGCCCGTGCACGTGTAAGGGTGCGTTGCACCACTGTTGAGCTCCCACCAATTCCATAATTATTAAATTAATATAATAAGGAATGGTTCCATTTATATACACATATGTATTTCATTTTTTCACCAATTGGGACAAGGTGAAAACACCCACCAAATCTAACTTTTTTCTTTTTCACTCAACCCAAAACACTTTAAGTTTATATACTATTTTGAAAATTTCCCCAACAGATGAAAGGAAAAAATTATCGTCAATTTGGACAATTGATTTCCAGCCTAAATTAAAAGGCATACTGACCTCCCAATTGAAGAGAGCAGCAGCAGCCTTGCGCTCTCGTATGTAGTGCTTTTCTGAATTATTATCAGAGACACATGCAGCATGTAATTCTGCCAAACTCTTCAAAAAGTTCATGGTGTCTGGAAGACCCATTAGATCTCCATGAAGAATATCGAAGTCATCAGAAACTCTAGAAAGTGGAAGTATATTAAAAAAGGCATTAGTTGATAGAAAATCAAGCGTGTTGAATTAATATGGGAGTAATTTTACTTTTCCATCCATCATACTTGAATTTTGGTTATAGAAAAACAGTTGGTTACAGAAAAACAGTATTCTTGTTGTTAAAATGTAAAAGTAACACTGAGCTCATGAAAGAATGAGTGGTTTTGGAGAAACTGAGGAAATGTAAATGCAAAAAACACCATTGTACATGCCACTTCTCTTCAAAAATCACTCATTCATGCATAATGTAGTTTTTTTTTTGCACAAAAACCATAATTTGTTTCAACAAAAATCTAAGCATGCTGGTTTGAGAAGTTAATTACTCATTAATATACACTTCCACTGAACTCACAGAGAAAAATGAACTCACGAGTTCTGGAGGAAGCTAGCATCATTACTATCAGATGCTGTTGGTGATCCAGTACGAAAACCTAGTTCGTTCTCAGCATTAGCATACCATTTTGGGATACTAATATCATTTCCAGGAGCTCTTTGTAATTGAAATCCAAGCACTATGGCATCACGCAATCTCCTTGCTCCGCTGACCTAAAATGAAGATGCAAAAGTTAAACATGTAAAGAAGGTGGATGGCTCATGATGTTCATTTTACCAACTTGTACCCAAGAAAAAGATCTAGCTATCTCAGCCAAACACATTTAGGCTCAGAAGTGAGTAACGGAAAGCATATTCTGAATTTGTAAATCCTCAACCTTATCTGATCTGTAGTTCTTTCCATGAGCTGCATCCTGCAAAATACGTGCTGCAACCTGCAATAGAAAAAATCTTTAAAGAACACATCAACCAAAGTTATAAATTGACAAACAAAGAGGGGGAATGTTAAACCATCAAATCTATATAAAGTCTACCAGATAAATAGAATTCTGTACAACAGAAAGAAATACTGTATATCCTCGTAATTAAAAAAAAGTTAAATGAGAATAAATTAGTCCGGAAACGAGGCATGGTAATTCATTTAATTTGGGAAAAGAAAAAAAATGTCTTTAGAAAGTAGCTGTTGTAGTGCATCGGTGACTGCAACAATGAATAGAAAAGAGAACATACAAAATTTCTTCCAAAGCAAAAAATGGTTAGAATGGCATGATTTCTGACGTAGTATACAATTTCTTAAAGCTCATCTAGCTGATAATTCAATAAATATATAACATTCGCATAGCAGATGGATATACCTCACCACCATTCACCCCACCCTCATAGCTAGGTTTCAAAGTAGTTGCTCGTTCAAGATATGGCCTCCAGTGACCTACAAGCAAGTCCCTCCTTATCATCTCAACACCACCTTGATGATACTGATGAAGAGTTTGTTAGTTTCCTCATATTAAATTGTTTGTATGCATATTAAAAGTTAAAGTGGCAGATACTTGTGATACCTCAAGCATATTTCTCAAAAATGGCTCTTCATTGAAATAATCTCTACGAACAAAGACAAAAGGTAACTTGTATGCCAAGGCTTCACTACATGTTCCATATCCAATTTTTCCTGAAACGATGCAAGTCTTGAGCCTAGAAGCTTGATTTCTTATCGTTGATACAAAATTTTCAATTGAACACCAATATGAGTAAATTAAGGGGAGAAGATGAAAGAAATATTGTCACCAACCAAGCATACAGTCAGATGCAGCCATGACATCAGGGGTATACACATCTTTGGCCAGCTTAAAGAAATTGCGAGGAAGCTCCTGCTGGTCAGGTACCCCACAAACCTGAACCATAGAACTTTTGGCACAAAGATATCCTTTTGCAGTGGATAGAAAATGTAAAGATGTCAAAAAGGATAAAGAAGCATACCAGACAGATCCAACCAGGAGGCAAGTACTCCTCTTTTAAGTTCCAACCTATTGTCTGCATTTTCATGCATTGCAGAAGTATGAAATGAAATGATCTAAATATCACATAGCAAGGAGTAAAGTGGACAAAATTAATGTAGTAAAACAAACATAAATAACAAAGCAAGCAGTGATGCCAGGCATGCTTGGTAGTTCTTTTTTATGAAGCCTTGCCCAGTTTTGAAGTTCTTGAAATATGAAAGTAACAAAAATAGAAACATATCATTGTTTTCACTCAATTTTCTAGCCATACTGCTGAATTTAATGCAAACTCATGCTACATAAATACTTGCATTCTTCTTCAAGTTAAGGCATTTTCCATCAAGCACTGATAAATCAAGTTGCGCAGTTCTGTTAAGGTCCATGCTTGATATTGTTCAAAAACTCTATTATTAGATAGAGGTTTAAATGGTTGTACTTGGTAAAAGGATAACTTAATTGAAGTTAATATACAGATATGGCCCATCTACATGTTGAAAATTTGATACCCAACCACACAGGGGGTTCTACCCGATCCTGGCATGCATACCAAGATCGTGTTGGAAGATTGCGTAGGGACCACCTTCGATGATTTGCAGTACACTACCAGATGGCAATTGATGGAGACAACCAAGGAGGACAACACTGCAGTTGAAGATCTGTGGCATGCAGTTGACGACTTCACTGCCAGATTCGATAGAAACACCACATTACTGGAAGAACTACACACCACGATCATAGGCAGGGCCGTCCCTTAGCATGTTAAATGTGAGATTTTGAACAGGGATTCCAAAATTTTGGGGCCCAATTTTACATATGTTTAGGGCATTTTCATCAATCTGTGTAAAGCTATAGCCCAAATTGTTAATTCTTTAGGTTTAGATACAAATTATTAATGGTTTAAATTTAGGTTAGGTTCAGATTGTTGATCGTTTAGGATTAGCGTCCTCTTGTGCTTGACATATATGTATGATGTTATCTCTTATGCAATGCCATCAAAAGTTATGGATGCAACGGGACCTCCAAAAAAATTGGAACGTCCCTGATCATAGGTGGTGGGATTGTCAATAAAAATTGCGAGGGTGGTCTCCACGGTGTCAACCGGCGGCGCCCAGGCAACAATCTTGAAGCTGGTGGTATTGGGAGTGACTACCATCCTGTGAATAAAGGAGGAGTAGCCCAGTTTGGCGACTTATATGATGAGGAGGCAGATGATCAGTTTGAAGTCCGACGAAACAGAGGCCGACCAAACGGGTACAATGAGTGTCAATATTCCTAACTTCCATGGGAATCTTGATCTTGAAGCTATATATAATTGATAGAATAGCTATCAATGAAGTTGAGCTACGCACAGAGAACAACTTTGTTGTTCGTATTTCTCATTTAAGAATTTCCGTGAAAAAACCTCAAAACAGACCCACGGCTCCTTATATCCCCTTAAATAGTAAACATACCTCAAGAATTTCTATGACATGGCATAACAAAGGTCGTTATCAAGATGGTAAACATACCTGTATTTCTCTTACATTGATTTCCCTAGAACCTTTGCTTTATTTTGGAGTACATACATGTGGGGTTGTTGAATTTATATACCAATCACATTTGATGTAACACTAAAATTACATGCAAAAAGACAGTGATTTGCACGACTTTGATGGTCACGTTGTCCGTACACTATTGCATTGACCGTTAATGTAAAATAACATGTGATCTTGTACGTGATTTGACCATTTTCGTATTCTTTTATTTGGTTGTTGTTCTCATTTGAACCTCCCTCTCTCTCTCTCTCTCTCTCTATATATATATATATATATATATATATATGTTTGTTGGTGCAATTGCAAAATTAAGTTCCGTTTTGAACCGGAGAGCGTCACATGTGTCAGACATTCACGCGATATTCACGAATGTTGTAGCATTCATCATGAATACTTCTCTTTACTAAAATGTCAGAGTATCTTAAATCTTGATTTGATCCTTTTCTGGGTAAAAACTTAAGATATTGGGACTTTATAGGAGAGGAATAAAAACATTTGATATTGCCTAAAGATGGATGTATTGAAGCTTGGTTACAACGGTCATATGACCAAGTCCTTGAGTCTATTTAAGGTTTGAATAAGTATTTGGATTAGTCCTGATTTGTTTCTTGTTTTTTAGTTGTTAGTTTGTTGAGTCTGTTTCGTTTGTATGCCTATAAATGGCAGCTTGATTAGTTGAATAAATCATCACATTTAAAGTGAGTTTGTGTGTGTTATCACTTGGTTTCAATAAGTGGTATCAGAGCAAAATTGTGTGATCCATTCGAGAAGAGAGTAGATGACTGAAGGAAACTCGTCGCAAGGCTTTGTTATTCCCAAATTCGATCGAGATTATGATCATTGGAATATGGTCATGGAGAACTTGCTTCGCTCCAAAGAATACTCGCCGGCAATTGAAACTGGCTATGTTGAGCCCAATGCCGGAGATCAGATCTCAGATACAAGAAGAAATGAACCGGATGCCATGAAGCTTATCGATTTGAAGGCTTTGAACTATTTTTTCTATTCAATCGATAAGAATATTCTCAGGACCATCTTGCAGAAAGATACAGCGAAGCAGCTGTGGGCAGCAATGAAGGTAAAATACAAGGGGAATGCACGAGTAAAGAGGGCTCAGTTGTAAAGGTTAAGAAGAGATTTTGAGACCTTAGAGATGAAGAATGGCGAAACCATTGTGGAGTACTTTGGTAGAGTCATGACTGTGTCAAATGAAATGAGGAATAATGGTGAAGAAATAACTGAGGTTAAGGTGGTAGAAAAGATCTTGAGAACACTTACACCAAACTTTAATTTTGTGGTGTGTTCAATTGAAGAATCCAAAGATTTGGATACATTCACTATTGATGAGTTACAAAACTCATTACTGTGCATGAGCAGAAGCTAGTCAAGAAGGAAGTAGAAGATCATGCACTACAAGTTGAAGATCAGAATTATGGACGTGGATTTGGTAGAGGTAGTAGAGGAGGATCGGTGAGAGCTAGAGGACGTGGACGAGGTAGAGGACGTGGAAACTTTGACAAATCAACGATAGAATGTTACAAGTGTCATCAGATGGGACACTTTCAATTTGAATGTCCTCGAGAAGACCAGGGGGTGAATTATGCAGAATTTGATGAGAATGAGGAACTGGTTCTTATGGCTCACATGAAGAACGATGTCGTTGTAAACAAAGGGTATTGGTTCTTAGATTCTGCATCTTCAAACCACATGACAGGTATGAAGAACTAGTTTACTAGGCTGGATGAAACTATCAAACACACTGTAAAGTTAGGCAATGGGCTGAGATTGGAGGTAAAAGGCTTGGGAGATGTTCGTTTTGAAATAGATGGCATCAAGCAAGTCGTTACAAATGTTTACTATGTTCCTCAGTTAACTTCAAACCTGATTAGTGTGGGTCAGCTTCAAGAAAAGAAAGTAAAGGTGGTGTTTGAAGATGGAGTATGCCATGTTTATCATCCAAGAAGAGGTCTGATCATGAAGTCAACAGTGGCAAAAGCCAAAATGTTCATAGTGTATGGGAATCAAAAGGATGTTACTGGTCATTGCTTGCAAGTAGCAGATGACAACACTACTCACATCTGGCACAAAAGATTTGGTCATGTGAATCACAAGGCGATTAGAACCATGCAGTATCACAATATGGTGAAGGGAATACCTCAAGTTTGTGGGAAAACGTTGGTATGTGAGACTTGCAATGTAGGGAAACAAAGCAGGATAGCAATTCCAAATAAGGCAATTTGGAGATCCACTCAAAGGTTAGAGCTTGTGCATACAGATCTTTGTGGGCCAATCACACCAATGTCTCAAAGTGGAAAGAGGTATGTACTTGTTTTTATTGATGATTTCACACACAAGACATGGGTTTACTTGCTGGGAAACAAAGGGGAAAGTTTTGAGCACTTTAAGAAATTTAAAGCAATGGTTGAAACTGAAGTGGGTTCTAAAATAAAAATGTTGAGAAGCGATAGAAGGGGAGAGTTTACTTCACATCAGTTTACTGAATTTTGTGAAGTAAACGGAATCAAGAGGCAGTTAACAGCTGCCTACACCCCACAACAAAATGGGGTGGCTGAGAGATGAAATAGAACACTAATAAATATGGTGAGATGTTTGTTAGTAGAAAAATAGGTGCCCAAATGCTTCTGGCCAGAAGCAACTATCTGGGCTTGTCACATTATGAACAGGTGTGTGTCTAGAGCTCTAGACAAGAAGGTTCCTGAAGAATTATGGACTAAAGAGAAGCCAAATGTTGATTACTTTCATGTGTTTGGATGTATTGGTCATGTCCATATTCCCTCCCAAGTCAGAACCAAGTTAGATGCAAGAAGCCAGAAATGTGTGTTGTTTGCCATTAGCATTGGTTCTAAGGCTTACAGGCTCTATGATCCAATTCAAAAGAAGATCATCATTAGCAGAGATGTATTTAAAGAGGATCAAAAATGGAATTGGGATAAAGAAACTACAAGGGAGGGAGAATTGATAATAGAAGAAGAACCCGGTCATCAAGTTGTAGTTACAGACAATGAAGAAGATGGGGATCTGGAACCACAAGTTCAAGAACAGGCTCAAGAAAGTGGTACTCTCATTCCAGATGAAGACCCACAAGCAAGCATTGCAGATTAGAGGAATACTGTAGTCACAAGTAAGGCAGTTGAATCCTCTACCAGAAATAGAAGACAACCGGTTTGGATGCAAGATTATAGAACTGGTTAGGAGTTATCAGAACAAGAAGATGGAGAAGCAGAAGATGGATTTGCCATGTATACAGCTCAAGGAGATCCTACTACCTTTGAAGAAGCAAGAAAAGAAGCTAAGTGCGTGAAAGCTATGGAAGATGAAATAAATGCAATAAAGAGAAATGGAACATGGGAGTTAGTAACTATGCCTGTTGAATTTGTACCTATTAGCGTAAAATGGGTATACAAAACCAAGCTGAATGAAGAAGGGAATATAGACAAGTATTAAGGCAAGACTTGTGGTTAAAGGCTATGCACAACAAAAAGGACTGGACTTTGAAGAAGTGTTTGCACCAATGGCTAGGTGGGACACTATTCGGACCATTCTAGCTATCTCTGCTCAAAGAAATTGGAGGGTGTTTCAACTTGATGTTAAAAGCGCCTTCTTAATGGTGAGCTCAAGGAGACTGTGTATGTTGAACAGCCTCTTGGGTTTGTCAAACAGGGAGAAGAAGCAAAGGTGTACAAATTAAAGAGAGCTCTATATGGGTTGAAACAGGCCCCTAGAGCCTAGTTCAATCGCATAGAGAAGTATTTCAAGAAGGAAGGATTCAAACAAAGTCAGTTTGATCATATTTTGTTCATCAAAAGGGTATGGAATAATACTCTTGTGGTAAGTCTCTATGTTGATGATTTGATATATGCAGGAACAAATACTATGATCTGTGAAGGTTTTAAAAGATCTATGCAAAAGGAATTTGAAATGACAGATCTTGGCATGATGAAATACTTTCTAGGTGTTGAGGTAAAGCAATCTAAGGATGGGATTCATATTTGCCAAAAGAAGTATTCTAAGGAAGGAGGAGGGGAGGAGATTGATCCAACACGATACAAGAAGTTGATAAGAAGTCTTATGTATGTTACTGTCACAAGGCCAGACTTAACCTATGTAGTGTGCTTGTTAGCAAGATTCATGTCAAAACCAAGGCTGGAACATCTGGATGCAGCAAAAAGGGTGTTAAGATACTTGAAGGGAACAGCTACTTATGGGTTATTCTATGGAAGAGAGTCAAATGAAAAACTGAAAGTCTTTACTGATAGTGATTATGCAAGGGATGTGGAAGATAGAAAGTGTATGTCGGCTACATATGTTTGTACAGTGGGGCTGCTATAAGTTGGAGTTCAAGGAAACAAGAAATTGTCACACTCTCATCTATTGAGGCAGAGTATGTAGCAGCAACCAACTGTGCATGCCATTGCAAATGGCTCAAAGGTTTACTTGAAGAGTTGGGTGAGAAACAAGAAGGTGCAATTGAAGTTATGCGCGATAACACATCAACTATAAAGCTTTCAGAGAATCCGGTTATGCACAGGAGAACAAAACACATTGATGTAAGGTTCCATTACTTATGAGATTTGGTTAATCAAGAGGAATTGAAGTTGGTATTCTACAACACTAAGAATCAGTTAGCTGACATAATGACGAAGCCGATCAAACTAGAAGATTTTAGCAGGTTGCGAGCATCACTGGGTTTGAAGGAAATAAACTGAACTAGCTCTAGTTCAGTTTAGGGGAGGATATTGAAGCTTGGTTACAATGGTCATATGACCAAGTCCTTGAGTCTGTTTAAGGTTTGAATAAGTATCTGGATTAGTCCTGATTTGTTTCCTGTTCTTTAGCTGTTAGTTTGTTGAGTCTGTTTCGTTTGTATGCCTATAAATGGCAGCTTGATTAGTTGAATAAATCATCACATTTAAAGTGAGTTTGTGTGTGTTATCACTTGGTTTCATCAGGATGAAGATAATGATGCATAGTTAAATTATCACATGCAAAGATCCTCAACTCACTTGTCCACCAAAGTTGAGTATCACGACCTTCTTATCCTCACTAATACCCAATTCTCGCCGCACCTGAGTTAGAGTAAAAAAGAACGGAGAAACATAAAGTTAACATCAACAGTAAAATGATTTTTCAAAAACATGACATAGGGCTACAAACCTCCTTGCGTGAATGTTGCGGCCTCCTCACAACCAAAGGTACATCAACCACATCTCTAAAAGCAGGCACTTCAGATGATGTTTTTTCAATAGAGTTTGTCATTTAAATTAGTAATCATAGATTTAAAGAGATTCAAGCACATAATTGGACTTCAAAAAAGAAAATATATGAAACCAACATACTTGGACAGTATCCTGGTAGACGAATTAGGAACTGACAATGTGAATAATCCTCGGCTATCTGTATCAATTTTAGACGATGGATAAAACAGTTAATTGCATTGCTACCCCAAAGCAACTCATGACAGGTAGCCATTTAGTACTAAACAAGAGGACTTAGAGAAAAGAAACAGCATTTATTTTTCAATAAGAAATCACATAAGCGGGATATCAGTTAATAGTATGAGTCAAGGCAAATATTGTTAATATTTCTCTGTTCGACTCGCAGTCTCCTTCTACTACTAATTTTGTTACTCATTGTGGTTTATTCATGGAAAGAGCAAGTATATGTTAAGATGAAGTTTGGTAACTAACAAAAAAAAGAAAAGATAACTAGTCATATTTTTTGGCATCACCAAGAAAGTAAGCAAACATGATAGGGAGGGGCAAGAAAGAATAGTATACCTGCCAAACTATTGACCTATGATGATATCCAGCAACCACAACATATTCTGCATAAATGAAGTCCCAACTGCAAAAACAAAATTGAAGACAGAATGAAAATGGCAGTTAACTAAAGCAATTGTATCTGTCAGATCAGGAGCCTTTCACAGTCTAAATTTTATTATGAGGGCTCCAAAATATGTTATCCTTTTCTAACACTACTTCTTATGAGTCACGCACTTCTCTAACACTAACACTTGTCCTATCAGTCAGCACCTTATTATAAGGTATAACAGGTGTGAGGATCGTATCAAATGAAGGTGGTGCACAAGCAGGAGTGAAATGTCTCACGAATTGGAGGCCAATGAATAAACATCTGAAGCAACCACCAACCTTTGTACAATATAGCTATACTAATTTGTACCATGGTTTAATATATATTAGCATTGATTTTTACTATGTGAGATTAAACGTTTTGTTTATGTGTTGGTGGACTCTCAAACTGAAGTCTTAATTATTGTATAGACCTTTGTTAAGATTCAGGAAACCATGCAGCTACCTGAAATTCGTTACACAGACTGCGCTAATACCTGCATCAGCTGCTGCACGGCAAGCAACTGGAACAACATCTGACACCTGTTTAATAGCATTCAAACGTCACATAAGAATCTGTAATGGATTGGCACTCAAAAGTTCTACCACAAAGCCACATGTCTACTCCACACCATAATGGTTTGGAAGACAAATGCTAAATAAAATTCAAATCAATGTACATTTACAAAAATATAAGGTAAGCAAATTAGAAGTACTGACAAGTAAAAAAGGATAAGCAGGCTATTACCACTAAGTCTGCCTTGATGGACTTCAGCCACTCTGCTTCAGTTGCCAAAATAGAATCACGAGGGGCAACAGCTGTCTCAGAATACTAGATTAACCAAAGAACGTGAAGGAAATGATATTAACGTAGGGATGAACTATTTAAAATGCTCAGCAAATTAAATTGAAAAAAGGGCCAAATTTGTTAAGATATCAAAATATATACTAAAAGTTGTGACTCGACAGTTAAAGCGTACCTTCTCCAAGGAGGCAAGTCTGTCAACTGTTAAAGCGTCTGCTTGCACAACTCCACAGTCTAACACTAGCTATGACACAAAAATCATATATCCAAAAGGATTGACAGATAAAATCAGATTTTTTTAGTTATCAAGTGATATCCATCTAGAGCTCCAAAACCTACCTTTCGGAGGAAGAGTCGTGGTGATTGTATTTGAGTAGTAAAAACAAAATCGGGTGCACCAGTAACCACATGAACATCATGACCGGCAAGAATGAGATGGCGAACAACCTACACAAAACCCCTTAAAATTAAATACAAAAGCGTGACAGATAATCAATATATGACACAGATCTTTGTTTATACTCCACCTGATGGGAGGCTATGTAAGCTTATATTTCATGATAGTGATAACATGCATACAGTGATACAGTTATTACTTCCCCCGGCCCCTCCCAAATTTAAATGAACCTTTGTAAATTGAAAAAAGAAGGCTTATCTATATAGGATAGGAGAGTGTAATTAATATAAGAGATAAACCAATATTGAACAGAGAATTAAAGCTATATGAGGTCTATCTTTAATATTTTGAGCCAATACTAAACAAAAGTCTACGTCATTCTTCACCAATCCCAGGAGAACTTTGGAAGAGATGTCGATGCAGTCAGGCTCCTTTGAAACCCCAAAAAATGGAAAAATTCCTTTTCTTAGGAACACATACAGGATATACATGTTGAACCTTTGTATAGGTTTTATTGATCACATGTGTAAATTGCAATGCCCGTTTGTGTTTGTACCCCATCTTGTAACCTCGTGTCACCTTGGCATGCAGGCTAGCTAAAAAAATCGAGATTAGAATGAGAAGTTAAATGAAACAACTATAGCTGTGTTAATTTTAATTTCTTCCATGTTCTGTTTTAGAAAGCAAAAAGAAATTAAAAATCAAGAAGGGGGACTGCCTGATTATCTTTTTAACGTTATGACTATAATATATATATATATATATATTATTTTTAAAATATACCTATAAAACAAATGAAATAAAATTGAAATCATTGTGCCAATTTTCAGCAGAAGTTGTAAAGCAAAATTTTAAATTGTAAAACTATTTCATGCAAGCAAGACTCGAGTCATTACTTAATTGTTGCAGCAACTGCTAACCATTAACTACTTCCAGAAACTACAATAAACCTAGAGTATGAATCCATGCATACAAACTTGAATTGAGATATGAAGAAGCTGATGAATTATGTACATAACCTACTAGCATGCAGAACCATCAAGGCTTCAAAGTCAGACTCATTCTTTCTATAAATATAACAATGTAAAAAGAAAATCTAAGAAAAAATCAATGCAATAGAACTTTGCCAGTCTTAATTCATTTTTGGTTAATGTTTATAATGAAAGCCCCGATCCATATCAACTTAACCCAGTTGAGATACTACAGATATAACATTATGACAACTCTGAGGACGGTGTTAACCACTAACAAGGCCAAATAACATAAACCCCGTTTTCATCTTTTAAACATTACAGCCAAGACCTAATCCTTCACAACAGCTTCTTTTCAATGATATGAATAGAATATAATAAAATCATCATAAACCAGAAATACCATGGTACTATTTTAGAAATAATCACATCAAATCAAATTGGAGCTAATTATGTTACTAGATTCCTATATATTTGCAATTGCATGACTTCAATTGGAATTGACACAGCATGTAGGATATGGAATATAACTTGGTCGATACACCTTACGACAATTTCATGGCTCCAACTCCAAGTGAGTTGCAGGAACCTTTTTCAAGTAACGGTAACTTTGAGAGATGATCGATTTTTCCAACTTATCATTTGTTATGTGGAATTGATCCTGGTACGATTTTAATTCACAGAGATACAGAAAATCCTAGTAACAACCACAGATATTGCAATTTCTTTCCCAAATATCCAACTTTCCGATCCTTAATTCTATCCCTTTTCCATCATCCAGAGTTCATAGTTGTTACAACATTGTAGCTCTTACCGCTGGCATTACACCATTATTACCCCCACGCCATGCATCCACAAATATTATTGATCATTGAACTCTTGAGTACTTGGTCAAATCTAAATGACAATCCTAAATTCTTAATCCTTATTCGTAATAATCGTATATCTATCAAAATCGCACAGAAGGGTGCCTTACAAATGAAGAGATCTCACATAACACGATTACCACATTAAATGAAAAATCAAATCCATTAACTAACAGATACATTTACCTCAACACCACGCGTTGCATGTCCGAATCCATGGCCAGTAACATAATAAGCGAATACCAGACGTTTTCCGGTCGCCGAAGCTGCTTCTGCTCCGTCTTTTTTCGTCATTTTGTGTCACCGTCGTACTTGCTGAAACTGATCAGATTGGATTTTTAAGAGAAAGAAAAGAAACTCATATATCGAAATCGATTCTTCGACGAGAAACCAATCAAAATTGGGAGATTGAATATGGAGACGGAGGAGATATTGACATCTTCTGTTATTCTGTTGATCGGGAGGTAAAAAGTTGTATATAGCCCTTTAAGTATACACCAAATGTCACTAATAGTCCTCCTACATTACTTAAAAACACATTAGTTCCTTAAAGTCTCTACCCAAGTCCCGAACCATAAAAACTCCTCCCTCTCATAACTAATAAATGAAATAAAAAATTTATTAGGGGTTATTTCGAATGAAATGTTTAAATTACATCAAATATGAATTAAACATAAAGTATTTGACAAAAACTATTAAAAACTATTTTTTATGTATAAAGTAATGTATATTGATGCATATTACTTAAAATTCAAGATTACAAGTAAATTATGCATAAATACAACTTATTAAAGCTCGATATTTRAATTCGTATAACTAACTGCGGATAAACATAATCTAATAAAGGATAAACATCTCATTTTAAAATATAAAAAATCTTAAATATGATTAGGATAATTATCGAGTTCTAACAAAATAATTAATTATTATATTTATAAAAATATTATATTATTAAACCAAATATAAATTACTTCGTTATTGTACCTAAATTAAATTATAATAAAAAATTGAATTAAAAAATTACATAAAAAATGAGAAATTTTAAATAATTAATTTGATACTAATATTGATATATTTTTGTTAAATTTTTATGATATATTCAAATTTATATTTTATTCAAAAATAAAAGCATCATCGAAATCTCAAAATCACATAAGACCATATTGTAACATCGACTGAGATAAAGCATAAGATGAAATATTAAAATCATGATGTATTTCGTTACATTGTACGAGTACCCTTCTAATATAAATTAAATGGAAGTATATTCATTTTTTATGCAATTTTGGTTAAATACATATTTTACGATTTTTTATGATGTTTCAATCCACGCTTTTCTTTCGGTTGGCATTTTATAATTAGCAAAACTTGTTTTTTGAAAAATTAATTTATAAACTAACTTATTGAAACGTTACTTAAGTTAAAGAGTAATATTAAATTGAATGTCAAATCATTCGCTGCATCAGCACAATAAGCATTACGAATTGAACCAGTCAACCAAGTGATTAAAAATGTTTAAGATTTTACATCTCAAAAATCTTATCCGGTAAATGAGGATGACATTTTTTTACCCATGAACACTTATCAGATAAGCGTTTAATAAACAATCCCTTGGACTTATAAAACATGGATTAATAATTTTTAAATGCAAAACTAGAGAAAGGAAATATTAACAAATCAACCCAATCCACATAATCTGTTTTGGTTTGTATACATAAGTAAGGGGTTGTTCGGTTCGTTTGCTATTAAGACCTGTATGGTTGTATGGATATAACTGTCTGTATTGATATAGTTGTCTGTATATTAACAAATAAATTGTTGTTCGGTTGTTGTACTGAATAAACAGTCTGAATGTCAGAAATGACTATTTTACCTCAATCTTTATTTTTGTATGAATAAAATAACAGTTTGATAAAAATGTTGAACTAATGACTTTTTAATTGTAAATTATTGTGGATCAATTTTATTACATTAGGTACCAATAACAAGAACAACACGTAGATCAAATGAAACTAAAATGTTGAATCAAATGAAATCCCAATTCAAAAGAAACCGAACTCAAAGCCTCTTACCTGTCCATTTTGCCTACTTCATCGAAGTAATTTAAAACAAGGTTACCATCAATTCTTAATATCGAGTAGACATTTGTTGCAAGTTTCAAATTGTCATATACGAAGAAGTAATTTTCTATCACCGTATTGTTGAATAAAAAACAATAATACGAAAACCAACCAAACGAGCCCAGTATACCCCACGCCAAACAGGCCTTGTATATCCCACCCGAATGTGGGGATTGTGGGTTAGATGTACACAGACCCATCATCTACCACGAAGAGTAGAATGGTTGTTTCCATAAATAAGGATTCTGTGTCGGATAAACCAACCAAACGTGCCCAATATATCCCACCTGAATGTAGGGTCTGAAGGTGGGATGGACAAAGACATGTCAGCTACAATAAATAGTAGAGCAGTTGTTTCTGTAAACACAATTCAGTGTCGAATCCAGGTGCAAAGAAACTAGATATAGATGCAAGAGCACGAGCACAGGATCCACAATCGCATGCTACATGAAAAACATAAGATGCTAAAATCGTCCCATGTTTCATTTGTTTGGCATCAGAAGATAGAGAACAAAATACTTGATCAACCAATGTACAGGGTTCTGAAAATTTATTCAGACATCCAGGAGTGAATTTGAAAGAGTAACTTAAATGAAGTTAAGAACTAAATACCATGAACAGTCTGAGAAAATTAAACAAAATCGGGACAAGAGATCACATATTTGTTTCCTGAACGATTTTATAAGGCGACCAGGCTTTTCAATTCGAATCTTCATTTTCCAGCCGATGAACTTCCACAGGCACTTCCTTTCAGCTCAAGATTGACTTGGAAATCTAGCAAATTTCAAGAGAAAACTCAACTCCATACAAGAAATAGAGCTCTAAGTGATTTATCAAATAGATATAATGCAGTTACAATACATATCAAACCAAACAAGCCCAGCATATCCCACACAGAGGTAGGGTCTTATTTGGGGGCGGGGGCGGGGTGGAAGATTTATGCAGACCTTGCCTCTACCCCCAAGGGTAGAGAGGCTGTTTCTGAGACTCCCTTGCAAAAAAAAACAGTTACAATATTAGGTGAATACACCAAACCAAAACCAAACGTACCAAGTGAATCCCACTTGGTGTATGGGAAGGGTAAGATGTTTTTGTGAAGACCCTGGCAGGTGAAATGAAATAACATAACTTCGTTTTTTATTTCCTTCCTCTTTAATTATTCCCTAAATGTCTGGCTTTGGGGTTCCTCTCCATAGATCACACCCATTCAAGTCTCCTCGGGTCCACACGGATTTTCCTAGGACTAGTTGAGGTGCATGCAAGCGGCCTAGACACCCATCACCAATATATATATATATATATATATAGAAAGAGAGAGAGAGAGAGAGAGAGAGAGACACGAAGGATAGTGTGAAATAGGAGTTAAGGTGAGAAGCATAAGATGGGATATAGACCTTTGATCACTTTTAATCTCACCCCCACCCCATGAATTGCACTTATCATGGGAACTGATCCGGTGCATCTCGGTGCACCATATTAGTGTTGATCTTCAATTAGGATTGATCCAAAGATGGAAATTCCTTCTTACCCTTCTCACCATAATTTTATTCACCAGAATCCAACCCTATGTGTGTGTGTATATATATATAAGGGGGCAATCAGGGGAGAACTAAGTAATTTGGATAACCGTGAGATCCAATCTCAACCACAAATCAAAGGATAAATTAGAAAATTAATCATTTTGGTAATTTTGGCTTAAAATTTTGATTAAAGAGCATTTTAGGTATTCTACAAATCTCCTCTCCTCTCTGAAAACCTTGTTCCGGCAAACACCAAGTGAGCACAAGATACACAATGTGATACCTTAAAAACATCGCCACTGTTAAAAAAAATACATACAAATGATCCTCACTATGATACCAAAGATACGTACAATATGCACACTATGATACCCAAGATACGTACAATATGCACTGTGATACCATTATGTACACGTGATTCCCACTCTTGTACCCATTGTATACACGTTGATACTCACTATGATACATATTGTATACGTGTTCACAACACCCATATTGTGACACCCATTGTTTACAGCACCAAATGTTGATTTGGTAATACAAAATGAGAATATGGAAAGAGAGAGAGTTGTTAACTAATTTAATTAAATATAAAATGGGAATGTCAAATTACTAATTTACCTTTTTACTTTATTTTAAGAATTAACATTAATTATCTTAAATGATTGGCTCACATTGGATCTCATGATTATCACAAACTACGGAGTTCTCATTTGATTAGGCCCATATATATATATATATACATATTATTTCCTAAAAGAAGTACATGGTGCACCATCTCAGTGTTACAAGGGTTGGAAGGAAACTTCCATGAGCAGCCTTTCCCATGCAGTTTTGCAGAGAGATTGTTTACTTGACTCAAAACCTTTCACCTTTCAGTCGCAAGGAAGTGACTACATCAATCGCTCAAAAGCTTGTTGTTGGATATGGAACCTGGTTTGGTAAATCCCTTAGAAGCTTAGAGCATAAGCTTTTGAATGGTCTTATGGTGCATTGTTCTTAACACAGTGCAACTTGTATATCATTAGTATATGCAGATATTCGTTACCAATTAACAAGGGTGGCATGATGTATACAAATGGGATGTGGCGTACCTAATTATCGTAGAAGCGGGAAGGACGTCTTCGAGAACTGTTGCATAAAACAAGAATATAAAAGAATGAGGATGGTTATCAAAGCATATAAAAACAAACCAAAAAACTCGAGCCTAGTGTATCCAACCCGGAGGTGGGGTGCAAGAGGTAAGATGTACGCAGACATGACCTCTGCCCTAAAGAGTAGAGTGGTTATCAAAGCATATACACACACGCAGAGAATAGATGATGGCAAAAATATTACGCTACTACATATCAACTTCTAAACACCTCCATTTCATATGCTCAAGTAAATTTCCCTTCTAACTTTAATCTCCCAGAATAATCAAGATGAAGAAGTTTACTTCTCATCATTACTTGGTGGATGAGAAATGCAACTACATTCTTGTTATGCATAACCAAGGAAAAGCAAAAGAATTTAACACACAAAGAAGTTCACCCAATGAAGTCAAGCTTGCAGGAATTGGCAAATGAGTTTTCACTACATGAGGAAAATAGAAAAAATAAAGAAAAGTGATGTGATGTGCCTGATCCTAGAAAAAGTGTATCTATAGATCCCAAATACAAATATCATCCTCCTAGGATTGTAACTCAAACAGATAAATCCAGTTGTAGACCAATAAGAATAACTTTGATATTTATCTACCGGATTTTGATTCAGTGGGAGCTTTGCAAAAGACAACAACCGAAGAGAGGGGCATCCCAAACAAAGCCAGGGGATAACACATTAAGAAGGCGTGTAAACCATAAAGAGGGAGCCCGCATCACATCAACCAAAAAAGTGAATCGTTTCCTTTTAGGATGATAGAAAGGAAATAAGGCACTACTTAACCCTTATTCTATAACCTCATGTGTCCCTCACTATCCTTATAAGCACAAGCCACCTAATGCAAACGGTTCTGAGCATGGGAGTTGTTCATATAGATAGTTAACAATTATGCTTCAATCTTACGTGCCCACCCCAAGAGAGCTTAAAAACCTTACAGTGGAGTTACCAACAAAAGAAAAAAAAAAGATTTACCAAAGCAGGTCCTCAAAACGAGCAGACACATAGCATACTGAACACAAAGGTCAAATTAAATTCACAAGTCAAAAGGATGGTGGATTAGCAATGCTACAAGAAACACAAAAAACTTGATCATCTGCAAAAACAATAGCGCATCATGCAAAAATATCTAAACATTCAAGAAACATAAAAAAAGCTTGCTCATCCGCAAAAATAATAGTGCATCATCACGTGAAATACCTAAACGTTCAATAAACACGAGAAAAGCTTGCCCATTGGCGAAAACAATAGTGCTTCGTGAAATACCTAAACATTCAAGAAACACAAGAAAAGCTTGCCCACCTGCGATGACCTGTTCTACCCCTGGATATACTACTGCTAGTCACAAATTCGTCCTCAGCCTCATCAGCTCTATATTCCGCAAATTCCGTAGATACCACAGAACCTTCATCGGAATTGGAAGTATCATAACTTAGTCGACGACTTTCTCTCCTTGATTCAATGACTCTTGACCTTCTTCTGTTTCTAGAACTCCGAAAGTTATCAAATACTTGATACAAGATGCAAGAGGTCCACCAATTTCCATCATCACCAGGAAAGTCTTCAAATTCATCTCCAGAGTCGTTATCCCCATATTCTATAACATAGTCTCCCAGAACCACGCCATGTGGAACTTCTGAATGTATAGTGCTTAAAACATCAATGATCTCAGAGGATTGCTGGAAATTTTCCCAATCAAGCTGTCTTGCAGGATCAATTTTTGATGGGCATGCATGAGGGTGCTCCACCTTAGCATGTTTCCGGAGTTCCATATAGGTTCCAGTAAAAGTACATTGTTCGTCTTCACAACAACGTTTTTTCTCATCCAATCTAACCCGAGCCTCATTGACAACAACCCAACCAGTAACATCACCTCTACAAAGAGGGCATGACGACCTGCTAGTGGCCTCTGCAGTTGTTGTGACAGAGTTGGCAATGGATGTTGCCTCAGTAGTTAAATCAGACCCAGGCAACATCCCATTTGCAATTCGGAAGCGGTCCAAACAATTCGAGTGCAAATGATCGGTGTCACACACAAAAGGCCGACATCCTTTGTCATAAGATGAACATTGAAGAAGAACGCAATTATGTGGGAAGGACAGGCATATGGGACATATGACATCTTCCCATTTGGTATCAATCTGAAAACCCTCCATAAGAAGTTTAAGAGTAGCAGCTCTTCAACAGATGTTCTACGAAAATGTACGTATCAACATGAAGAATCCAAAAGCATGTGATGTTCAATTTCTCCTTCCTGGTTTGAAGGTTCTATTATTGGACGAGCTAACCGATCCTAACAGATGACAGAAAACCACAACCCATAAGGTGGAAAGTCAGCACCTAGAAAGCACTTGATCTTAAACAACAAAAGCAATTGTACCTGGTCAAGGAAGTATACAAACAATCAAGTCATAGTATTCAGAAACTAATGGCATCAACAACAAAAGATAAGCACAACAAATATTTCTTATAGGACAAGATTACTTGAACAAGAAATATGTTGAGTACTGCTTTTGTGTAAGTAACTAAATTGGTTAGCTTACAAAACTATTAAGCACAAGCAAGAGGTCCCATTGGGTAGTCCATGAACTATAGTATAACGACATTAATACTAAGAGGAACTTACAAGGTTTTATCAAATGAGCTGGTCACTGTGCTTTCATTCTTATTGATAACGTTTATTAATATTGTGAGCAATGTCACCAGCTCTGATTGGCAAACATCCAATCTGCAAATGGTCTTACATGGGCGGATATCTGCTTAGCACAACCTCACAATACTGACCTAGATACAAGGTAAAATAGTTGAGCTTTCAAAGTTGAAGGGTAAAACCCTTCCATAGTTGGTGATCACATCCGAAATACGAGTTGCTCCCTCATTTTTGATTCACTGTTTTAGTTGTCATGTCCCTTCAAACAAACAACCAAAAGAAGGGTACGTCATTTTCTTGTATAAATTTCTATCAGCTCATCTATGTCTGATTGTTCTTCCTTCAATAGACTCTATAGCATGTGATTCTTAGGGTTGAATGGGATTGATCAGACGTACAGATACCTGGGCAGTGGATGTCCTGTGGTATAAGCTCTCATCACTTGGTGTATGTATGCATGTTCTATTATTCTTAGGGTTTTTTTATTTCATTTAGTCAGATTTACGATCTGTGTAGCTATCTCCTGGTACACACAAAAGTACAGCACCTGTTTATTGAAATTGTAATGAATAATTTGAGTGCAGGTGAGATATGGTTTGGCTTGTTTTTAGGAAGGGGTTTACCTTTTGTCGTTTTACATTAGTGTTTCAAAGTTCCCAATACTTCAAAGTGAAAAAAGAGTTTGACATTTTGTTCTCTACTTCTCCCCTAATGTCCTTGTTTTATCATGTAACACCTTCTTTACTTTGGGTCTAGTCTTGTCTGCTAATTGCTTATTGCGCAGCTTTTCTTGGTGTTCCTAAGCTTGTTGTTTATGAACTTTTAGGATGATATACCCAAATAGAGTTTGATCACATGTATGTTGATGAAATATTTTGGTGTGGATTTAAATACTTTGATGACGTTTTTTTGTTAAGGTATTTTGTCTGCTTTGTTTAGTATATGTGTGTGTGTGTGTGTCTGTATATACATATTTACAGCAGTGCAAGTGTATATCACATCCATATTTTCATATCTTGGAATTATAGAACTCATGCCCAATACAAATCACAAACCCATTCTTTTGCTTCCTAGGTCACAAGTTGAATTTAGAAAAATTACAAAATGTTAAGATGGATGTACTGAAATACGACGATTGACATGATCATGAACTAGTGCAAATAAGGTTGGGGTGGCTTGGATCAAAAAAGTAAAAAGTAAAGCCATGTCTGACGGTCTTGATATGCCATTATCTTTACCATCTCTAGAGCAAACCTTTGGATACATTCGATAAAAAGAGTAGACTCGTTTTCAAAAGATTGCGTCAATGAAAAGGTATAGGGAGACTAAGGCTAACATAAAGGAAAATACTCAACAGGGATTGAAGGTATTTGTGCATATCTAAGAAATTAGCTTTAGATAGGAGAGTATGAGATGATGTGGTTCAAGTTTGGGAGCCTTCACTGATCCAACTTCCCAAATTTCTCATGGTGACCATATTTAGCCTATACCACTACTTCCATATTTGTTTGTTCCACAATTTAAATCTTGATTAGAAAAAAGTGGAGCAACTTTTACATAATACATATGGAAGCCTGCCCATTCCAACTCATGACCTTATCCATTTATTACTTTATAAAACCTAATAGTATCTCACATGTAATTGCCCCAAACTAATACAGCAGTTAGGTTCACTACAAACAGGTTCATTTCACGTCCTACATACACTCAAAACGAAACATAAATCATCCAGATTACCCAAAAATAGTGAAACAGCAAATGTTACAAAGCAACAACAACAAACAGAAATCATCGGTTGCCAAATGTCATGCCGATGTTATTTGGTCAATCAATTAGCAAAACATCATGTCATGAAATTGATCAAATTAAATTTATCAACCCTAAAAAGAACAAAAACCCATCACTACGAACGAAACATGAATCAAAAGAAGCAAAATCAAGAAAATAAAAAATTGATAAAGAAGAGGAAGGAGATAAGTAGCAGTTGAAACTAACCTTGATGATGAAGTAGGAAGCAGTGAAGTGTAGGATTTGGAGGGTTTACTGAAATGGGGGCAACAAAAGAATCGATCGGGGAGAAGACTTGGCAAGAGAAATGGCGAAGTCTGAGAAGATGACACGCTAACTGGGTTGCTTTTTCTCCTTGTTTAAAATATTAAAAGTCTCTCTCCGCTTGCCCTTTTACGAATATTATTTTCGTAACGGACTTGGAAAATGCGCACGTTATCAGCATCTCCAATTTATGTTATTATTATTATTTTCTTCTGAGTTTATGGGTAAATTTTAATTGATAAACTAAAATATTTTTGATTAATACTAATTGTTAATTAATATTAAATATAAGTTATTAATTATATTATTTTATGATTATAAATTATTCATTAATATCTATATTATATTATAAAACATTTGACAAAAACTCTTAAAAACTATTTTTTATGCATGAAGTATTGTGTATTAATACATACTAGAAGGATACTCGCACAATACAGCAAGATACATCTTGATTTTAATGTTTCGTTTTATATTTTGGGTCTATCAATATTATGATGCTATGTGGTTATGAGAAAAAAAAAATATTTTTATTTTTAAATGAAATATAAATGTGAAGATATCATAAAATTTTGAAAAAAATAAATGATATTAGTATTAAATTAACTATTTAAAAGTTCTCATTTTTATGTAATTTCTTTGATTCAATTTTTTATTATAATTTAATTAAA